GAGCAGCCCAGCTTTTGAGAAAGCAAACGCCTCTTCGATTTCTGAGATCGGCCTTCGTGGTCTTTGAGTAGCCCAACTTTTGAGAAAGCAAACGCCTTTTCGATTTCTGAGATCGGCCCTCGTGGTCTCTGAGCAGCCCAACTTGTGAGAAAGCAAACGCCTCTTCAATTTCTGAGCAGGCGCCTCTTTGATTTCTGAAGCTCCGTCGAGTGCAGATTTTTATAGAGGTTGGCATTAAGTTCCAAAGCACACTTGAATCTCCACCAGTAGAAGCTCCGTTCTTGCACTTCTAAGATCTTGATTTGTCCGACCTCTTCTCTTTTCAACACCTTTGAAAATGTCTGGCCCCCCCAGACTGTCGTTTTGACTTGAACCTTGTTGAAGAGGCAACCGCGCCTTTTCCAGACAACATATGGCGCCCATCTTTCTTATCCCCTACTGGTCCTCTTACCGTTGGGGATTCCATGATGAAGAACGATATGACCGCTGCGGTGATGGCCAGGAACCTTCTCACTCCCAAAGATAACAGACTACTTTCCAAACGGTCTAATGAGTTGGCTGTTAAGGATTCTCTGGCTCTCAGTGTTCAGTGTGCAGGTTCTGCGTCTAATATGGCCCAACGCCTATTTGCTCGAACCCGCCAAGTTCAATCATTGGCGGCTGAAGTAATGAGTCTCAAATAAGAGATTAGAGGGCTCAAGCATGAGAATAAACAGTTGCATTGGCTCGCACATGACTATACTATAAACATGAAGAGGAAGCTTGACCAGATGAAGGAATCTGATGGTCAGATTTTACTTGATCATCAGAGGTTTGTGGGTTTGTTCCAAAGGCATTTATTGCCTTCGTCTTCTGGGGATGTACCACGTAATGAAGCTCCAAATGATCAACCTTCGATGCCTCCTCCTTCTAAGGTTCTGTCCAGTACTGAGGCTTTGAATGATTCCCCTCCGGTGTATTCTCTTTCTAGGGCTCTACCGACTGCTGAGACTTCTCCTAAGCAACCTTTGTAAAGACTCCTTCTTATTTGTTTATTTTGACTCATGTATATGTACATATTTGTAACTTATCGGAGATATCAATAAATAAGCTTTGCTTCATTTCAACGTATTGTGTTAAATACACCAAAGTCTTCTTCACTAAGTTCTTTGAATTTTTCTTTTGTTGAAACTTGTATGTTGAAGCTTTGTGAGTGGAGCATGTAGGTTGAGGTAGTGTTCCCTTAATTTTCCGAGTGAGGAAAACTTCTCGGTTAGAGACTTGAAAAATCCAAGTCACTGAGTGGGGTCGGCTATATGAATCTTATAACGCCATTGTGCTCGGTCCTGTGTCATGTCATCCGTTAGATCCAAGTACTCTAAGTCTTTTCTTAGAGTCTCTTCTAAAGTTTTCCTAGGTCTTCCTCTACCCCTTCGGCCCTGAACCTCTGTCCCGTAGTCGCATCTTCTAACCGGAGCGTCAGTAGGCATTCTTTGTACATGTCCAAACCACCGTAACCGATTTTCTCTCAGCTTTCCTACAATTTCGGCTACTCCTAATTTACCTCGGATATCCTCATTCCTAATCTTATTCTTTCTCGTGTGCCCACACATCCAACGAAGCATCCTCATCTCCGCTACACCCATTTTGTGTACGTGTTGATGCTTCATCGCCCAACATTCTGTGCCATACAGCATCGCCGGCTTTATTGCCGTCCTATAAAATTTTCCCTTGAGCTTCAATGGCATACGGCGGTCACACAACACGCCAGATGCACTCTTCCACTTCATCCATCCAGCTTGTATTCTATGGTTGAGATCTCCATCTAATTCTCCGTTCTTTTGCAAAATAGATCATAGGTAGAGAAAACGATCGTTTTTTGGTATTTCCTGATCTCCGATCCTTACCCCTAACTCATTTTGGCCTCCATTTGCACTGAACTTGCACTCCATATATTCTGTCTTTGATCGGCTTAGGTGAAAACCTTTAGATTCCAACACTTCTCTCCAAAGGTTAAGCTTCGCATTTACCCCTTCCGGAGTTTCATCTATCAACACTATATCGTCTACGAAAAGCATACACCAAGGAATATCATCTTGAATATGTCCTGTTAACTCATCCATTACCAACACAAAAAGGTAAGGACTTAAGGATGAGCCTTGATGTAATCCTTCAGTTATGGGGAAGCTTTCGGTTTGTCCTTCATGAGTTCTTACGGCAGTCTTTGCTCATTCATACATATCTTTTATAGCTTGGATATATGCTACTCGTACTCCTTTCTTCTCTAAAATCCTCCAAAGAATGTCTCTTGGGACCCTATCATACGTTTTTTCCAAATCTATAAAGACCATGTGTAAATCTTTTTTCCCATCTCTATATCTTTTCATCAATCTTCGTAAGAGATAGATTGCCTTCATGATTGAGCGCCATGGCATGAACCCGAATTGGTTGTCCGAAACCCGTGTCTATTGCCTCAATCTATGCTTAATGACTCTCTCCCAGAGCTTTATTGTATGACTCATTAGCTTAATACCCCTATAGTTCATGCAATTTTGTACGTCGCCCTTATTCTTGTAGATAGGCACCAAAGTGTTCTTTCGCCACTCATTTGGCATCTTCTTCGTTTTCAAAATCCTATTGAAAAGGTCAGTGAGCCATGCTATACCTGTCTCTCCCAAGACTTTCCACACTTCGATCGGTATATCGTCTGGGCCCACTGCTTTTCTATGCTTCATCTTCTTCAAAGTTACAACCACTTCTTCCTTCCTGATTCGACGATAAAATGAGTAGTTTCTACACTCTTCTGAGTTACTCAACTTCACTAAAGAAGTACTCCTTTCATGTCCTTCATTGAAAAGATTATGAAAATAACCTCTCCATCTGTCTTTAACCGCGTTCTCTGTAGCAAGAACCTTTCCATCCTCATCCTTGATGCACCTCACTTGGTTTAGGTCCCTTATCTTCTTTTCCCTTGCTCTAGCTAGTTTATAGATATCCAACTCTCCTTCTTTGGTATCTAGTCGCTTATACATATCGTCATAAGCCGCTAACTTAGCTTCTCTCACAGCTTTCTTCGCCTCTTGCTTCGCTCTTCTATACCTTTCACCATTTTCATCGGTCCTATCCTTGTATAAGGCTTTACAACATTCCTTCTTAGCCTTCACCTTTGTTTGTACCTTCTCATTCCACCACCAAGATTCCTTTTGGTGTGGAGCAAAACCCTTGGACTCTTCTAATACCTCTTTTGCTACTTTTCGGATACAACTAGCCATGGAATCCCACCTTTGGCTAGCTTCCCCCTCTCTATCCCACACACACTGGGTGATTACTTTCTCTTTGAAAATGGCTTGTTTTTCTCCTTTTAGATTCCACCATCTAGTCCTTGGGCACTTCCAAGTCTTGTTCTTTTTTCTCACTCTTTTGATATGTACATCCATCACCAACAAGCGATGTTGATTAGCCAAGCTCTCTCCCGGTATAACTTTGCAATTCTTACAAGTTATATGATCCCCTTTCCTCATTAGAAGAAAATCTATTTGTGTTTTTGACGACCCACTCTTGTAGGTGATCACATGTTCTTCTCTCTTCTTAAAGAAGGTGTTGGCTAAGAAGAGATCATATGCCATTGCAAAATCCAAGATAGCTTCCCCATCCTCGTTTCTCTCCCCAAAACCATGGCCACCATGAAAACCTCTATAGTTGTCTGTCTCCTTGCCCACGTGTCCATTTAAATCTCCTCCTATAAATAACTTCTCCGTCTGAGCAATTCCTTGCACCAAGTCTCCAAGGTCTTCCCAAAATTTCTCCTTCGAACTCGTATCCAACCCTACTTGAGGTGCGTATGCACTAATCACATTGATGAGTTATTGTCCTATTACAATCTTGATTGCCATGATTATATCTCATACCCTCTTGACATCTACAACATCTTGTGTCAAGGTCTTATCCACGATGATGCCAACACCGTTTCTCGTTCTATTTGTGCCCGAATACCAAAGTTTAAACCCTGAGTTTTCTAGATCCTTTGCCTTAAGACCCACCCACTTAGTTTCTTGTAGGCACATAATATTTATCCTTCTCCTCACCATAATTTCCACTACTTCCATAGATTTTCCTGTTAAGGTTCCTATATTCCACGTTCCTAAACACATTCTACTCTCTTGAACTCTATCATTCTGTCCTAGCTTCTTCACCCTCCCCCGTCTAATAGGATCAAAATACTTCTTTTGTGTGTCCTGTGTAAAGTTGATAGGAGCATATGCTCCCAAACAACTTTGAGTGGAGTCGTTCGAAAAGAAGTTTCTATGGCCCCCTTGCTCATTTAACACTGCATCCGGGTGCCGATGGAGATACAACGACCCTTGCTCACTTATCACTGTGCTCGGGCCACACAGCCCGCCACTTACGGGTGACGCCCTAGCTTTAGCGCGATTTCGTTCTGGATTCATTTTCATAAGGATTCGACGTAACCGAGGAGTGCCGACTGTCGACTACTTGACGCCCTCCCCCTCCTCCTTTATCCGGGCTTGGGACCGGCAATGTAAGATAAACTTACACAGGTGGAGTTAAAAATATCAATATACTAAAAAAAATAAAATAATAATCCAACCGTAACTGCACCCGTTCTACAATTTGATTGCTTCTCACTAATATTATCAATTGTGAGGGAGAGGCTAACATTAATTAGACATTTCAACTTATTTTATACTTTTCAGCCAAATTGCTTTGTGCACTACTATTTTTACTTGAGATGGACAAACCAAAGAACTTAGGAACTGTATCCAACTAACATGCTATTCTTATCGACAAGTAGGCATTGCCATGCGACTACTGACACTGACTTCCCAACTAAACTTGCAATCTAAGCAACATCTCCATCACCATAACATGGAAGCTGGTATTGTCTGGTTGCAAACACAGATAATAGCATTACTCGTAAATCTTTAACCTCAAAATCTTTTGCAATCTACCCAAAAGCTGTCTATGATTCATAAGTATGAGACGATCCAAGGAAAGGAAAATTTTGGAGCCCCGGAGGAATAAGAGTTACACTTAACATCCTCCATATTATTATTAACCTAAAACGCATACATACAATGATATTGAGAATTACAAGAATACAATAACGGTGACAATGTCGCTGCATAGGCCCTCTTCACGACACCTAAAAGACATTCAAACTCAAATCATCGTCATCTTCATTTCCGTCTTGCTTGGGTTTGGAGGGAGAACCTCGAGTATGTATATGAAATTTAAGCTAGAAAAAAATGTGGCGCTTACAAAACTGACCCTCTTTCACCGCCATAGCGTACCAGTGTTATGTTAACTTGGAAGATAGTTGCGGTTTGCCATGTATAGTTTCTTCATAAGAGTTCAAACAATACACCGGGGTGTGGAGAGACAAAACGCTACATGATTCCGTCCCTTGTGCTACATGCGGCCAACTATGTTTTCTTGATCTCATCTCTTCTGAGCTTATTCTGGTATCCATGGATGTTGAATGAGGTGAGCATAATTGAGATATTGGCCGTATCCGACATAACCTCCCATTTGAGAAGTTTTTGGCTTCGAAGTTCAACTGTCTTTGACTAGTGGCTTTCAAGTTTACTTTTCGACCAACCACCGGAGGGAAACTGACTGAAACAGCTGAGAGGCAACTAGAGTCGTCATTGCATGAGGGAATAGTTGCGTTCGGCATTGCTGTACTCTTTTTCCAAGTAAAAAATGATCGTTGTAACCTGGATGGAACCTGCACAGCCAAAAAATAAAAGTTGTAAGAACTAGTTCAAATTGACAGGCATCACTCAAACTACGTTCTCTTACTACGGGGTACGGCCAAATTGAAAACACCAGCTGATATACCGATTAAAAGTCTTCATATTTTATGCGTCAATCACCAGCCTCTACTTTCAAATACGGATTATTAACTAATGCAACGTAATATAAAATAAAGGCTGCTGGCCTTATTTAGAGTGCCCTCAATCTTCAACGTATTTCAGAAAAACAATATGGGTTAGAAAGTGACAACGTTTATGATCAATCCATTAGACATAGTCTAACTTCTGAAGGACACTGCTACCATAAGTTGTAACTACTTGAGGGATATATGGATAAGCTCCCATAACTCAAAAATCATTTGGTTAAGTGAATCTTAAATCTGAGCTACCATAATAATGTCCCCAACTGCACATCGATAGATGCACATGCCCAACTACATACTTTGTAGACAGACTAATTTAAATTTTTTAAACTCTTAATTCACAAGAAAACTGATCCATTATTTCATTTGTAAATATAACCTATGCTCCAACTACATACTTTGTAGACAGACTAATTAACTAGTTCTACCAATTTATATGTGACTTGCGTATTCTATCAAAATTCTTCTTGGCGAGGCATGGTGATAAATTTCGTAGGAGCATTTTTACACATGGAAAGATGACGAAGTGTGTAGTTCATAAAGACAAGAAGAGTTCTTGTTTCAATCATGAAAGCAATCAAGTTCAACAGTTTAAATCCTTAATGCAAATATAAACTGTCATCAACGTTAACTAGATACAAAAGATCAATCAAAGCCTCTACAAAAGTGGATTATGAGTTCAGAACTCTAATCGTCATGACTCATCCATCAACCAGTAAACAACTAATCAGACAGCACAACTACTCATTAAGAGGACACTATGCACTAGCATTTTACACATACCAAATCCTTATTAAATAATATAAATATAAACCTGGTGCAGCAATATAAGTCTATGATTTCTAATCCAAAAATTATAGACAAGTTCTTTATGAAGTTGCTTGGCTACGAGGTAAGGAAAAGATGCTGATTTGATTCAAAACCATGACATCATTTGGACTACCACAATTTAAACTTTCGTACTGCCTTAGCTAATATATTGATTGGCTACGGTTTTCATTTTTGGTAGTCTAAGGCCCTGGATAGCATATATGTCTTAACACCACAAGATATTCTATTCATAAACGCTGACTTATCACAACTTTATGAAATGAAATTCCAAGAAATATGTTGTAAAAGAAAAGTTCAGAACTCACTCCAGAGACGAGGCTACTTGAAGCAAATGCCAATGTAGACGAAGAAAATGGAGATTTACCAGGTTGTTTCCCCTCTGGCCATTTTTAGTTGCATCTTGATCTGCAGTTGCAGAACCAAAACTTGATGGCGCAACATCATCCTCATCTTCATCTTCCTCTTCCTCTTCATCTTCATCCTCTTCAACTAAGGGTTTCTCATCTTGCTTAGCCGATGCAGCAGAAGTATCTTCTTCCTCCTGCAAACCCATTTCGACCTTCTCCTCCTCTTTCTCTCTCCTCTTTAACTCCCCATCCACATCCTCAATTACCTCTTCGAGGCACAACTCAGCCTCTACAAGTTCAAGTTCTTTTTCAATCAACTTCAACTTCACCTCACCGGCTTTCCTCTTCTCTTCAGTCCATTTCTCTACATTTTCAAAAATGGGCTTGCATGCATTTTCCACTGCTGATACTACACGCATCCATAAATTTTTCTTCTTCGCATCAACATTTCTTCCATAGAACTCATCAAAACCAAGGGGAAGGAACTCCACCTTTTTTGGGTCCACCTCTTCCCCATCTTTCAGAAGCGGCTGCCAAAATAAGCGCACCCCATATTTTTCATCATTAATATAGTTGATTAACCGTCCAGTTCATGTGTGTAAGATTATGGGATCTTCAGTATATACAAGCTTCGATGGGTCTTCAGGATCAGGCTCTGGGATAACAAGAACAAATTCTGGAGTTTCATCTGATCAAGCAAATGTAACATATATTTAGTAGGCAACTTGACTTTGTCCTTTTTGGCCGAAGACCAAACCACACATTATATTCGGAGAAACAGAAAACCAAAGGGAATTCTATGAAGAAGCCACTGGCTTAGGTGGCCAGGTAACACCTCTCAATTTTACAATGGAAAGATAAAAGGGTTCATCAAATTGAGTTTTTCGTATGTTCGGAAGATCTCTAACATTCTGCACTCCGAAAAAATAGTGGATGTGCAGAGCAAATTTTTTTAAATGGATGCGAGATGGGGGAAAGGGGGTATGTCTATGGATGATGAAATTAATACCCTTTGACCACCAGTATTCAAGCTCAGCAGGCATGGGTATCCTCAGTGGAGTTTTATAGAAAGAGTTCAACCACATTTCCCTTTCTTCATCAACCTCATGCACATATGTTTTCCAATAATCAGGTACCTGACAAAGAGTATAAATACTTTTCTATGAGAAAAGAAATATTACATACTCAACTTCTTAAACCTAACCAATCAATTTCCTGACTAATTAAGGTATATTGATTTACTTTCATTTGTTTTATGTGAAATTTTTTACCAGCCATAAACAATTGATGATAACTTACTTCATAAAATTGGTTTATGAAGCCTGGTGCCATCCAAACATCATCATCTTCATAAAAGTAGGGATGTTGAGGATCACCATAAGGTCCCATTTCTTCCCTAACCACTTTAAAAGAAAAGAAGTTCCATTGTCATGAACCAAGGAGAGATCACAGAGTACACAGAAGCTGAACGGATCTTATGGTATAAACCAGATCTACATGATGCAAGAATTACAATAGTAATTCAAAGTTCCTGTGTACACAAATTTACAAAATCAACAAAATCTGCATTTTCTGAGGGCCAGATTATCAGAAAAATATTAATAATAAATGAAGCAAGGCCTCAAAAAGCGCTCAACTAAACTTATGCAAACTTATAAGGGGTTTTCAAGAACTATTGGCATCTCTTCAGTAAAAATAATGCGTACATTCCATAGTCTGCTGAAATGCTATCGTTTCTTTTTGGTCAATGTCCTCAAATGGTATCTATATGGACAATTTTATCCATGAATAAATACTAACAATATGCAAGTCATATTCCTGACAACAACGGTATATGTTTTAGTGCATATTTAGTCAACCTCTGGCCAGAAACTTCCAACTATAAAAGTTGAGTTCAAATTTCAGTTTCTACAGGATACAACAATTTGCAACTTAACATCCATGGAAGGCAATTATTAGTATTAAAAACATACTTCCATCAGGCTTGTTGACAAACATCCGAGCCTTAGCAGCAGCCACTTCTGCAATACCCGCATGCAGCTGAAAAGCAACCAACACATTAGTGAAATCTTCGCACAGATGGTAACTTTCACCTCTGTACTTGTAATGTAAGTATAATGCATCAAAGAAGGAACATATATTTTTACCGCTGATACATCCTCATCACAACCAGTATCATCCTCCACTAAGTCCCCAAAATAGAACCTACCCTGCATGCAAAGAGAAGATAAAGTACCTTAACTCAACAACCATAATATAGTATCAAGCTGTTACAAACAGGGGCAGAACTTTCACATTATTTGATGCCCTACATGTTATTTCATTACTTTCCACTGTAAGTTTTTTCACTAGCATCCCCTACAACCATCTTGTATTGCTCGAGAGTATACTGGGATTTCCCACCGTCCCACGTTTATTAGAGAGAGGCTGTCGTTGTAACCTAGGGATCTAATTTTGAGTTAAGCGGGTTCGCGCGAGAGCATTCTCAGGATGGATGATCCACTGGGAAGTTCTCGTGTGAGTTCCTAAAAACAAAACCGTGAGGACGGGGTCGGAGCCCAAAGCGGACAATATCGTGCTACGGTGGAGTCGAGCCCGAGATGTGATGGGGGCCCGAGTCAGGAAGTGACATCTAAGGGACAAAATAGACATAAAAATAAGAACTAAAATATTTAAACCTATATTAAGTGCCATCAAGTTGCTGATGTGGATAAGTGGGTTTTTCCTATAATTTGTAGGCTTAAATGTTAAAATAGTCCTTGTGTTTTATTTATTGGGTCAATTTAATCCATGTGTTTACAATTTGGTCAATTTGGTCCTTGTGTTTATCTTCATTAGCCAATTAAGGACATTTTCATTTAATTTATGTAAAAAATTTATAAATTATTACAAACTTATTTATAAAATTATTATTTGATTTAAAATTATTTTAAAATGAAATAAAATTAAAAGAAAAATTATTCTCCTCCTAACTTGCCAACTTCCTCCCTAACATTACCCCCTCTTTTTTTTATGTCACAACCTTAATCATTTTTCATATTGGAAGCTTTATCTCTTATATGTGTAATTTCTCATTGATTTAGATTTTTTTGTGAAGAGAAAGGATAATTATATCTCATATAATTTTTCTTATGGGTTTTTTTTTAAAAGAAATTGAATTAAATGTCCTTAATTGGCTAACAGTGACAAATACGATGACTAAATTAGCCAAATAAAAAACACATGGACTAAATTGGCCATATGCCTATAACACAGAGACCATTTTGACATTTAAACCTAATTTGTATAACTTTTTTTTAACAAACGATATTCTTTATACTAAGGAGAAAAATACGAACTTAACCTCACAATCAACAATAATTTGTATAAATGACTGGTCTAAATCAATCAATCATAAAATCCAATGTATATTTGAATATAATTAAGGACTCTACACTGTGAATTGTATTTCAAAGGGGATTTTCATGCAGAAAAAGGGCCAGCAGCCTTAGTTTGAATTATGCGAAGTGTATTTCAAAGGGGATTTTCATGCAGAAAAAGGGCCAGCAGCCTTAGTTTGAATTCCTTGTGCATGACTTTATATGAATCGTGTATTTTCATGGGGTATTTTGATATGGGTCCAACGTAACTAAAAATTAGACCAATTTCAAAAGTCAAAAGTCACTAAAAATTGAACTTATTTCAAAAGTAGGCCTATAGAATTGGACCTATTTCACAATTTCCCTATTTTCATCGTACCTAGAAGAAGCAAACGGTAAAGAGAGGATCCGAAAGAGAGGATCCTTGTCGGATCCTCTTTGTGAAGATCTCAGAGATCCTTCAATTGTACGGTCAGTTTTTGTTAGGTACAGTTTATATTCAATTTGAAATAATAAAATATACAATGATTTCTGACTTCAAGATGTACAATGAATGGATGTGATTGGAGGATCCTTAGGATCCTCACAAAGAGGATCCGGTGAGGATTCTCCTGGCAAACGGTAAGCAAAGAGGGCCATATAAAATGGAAAATGATCCTCTCCGGATCCACTTTGTGAGGATCATAGGGATCCCCACATCCTAACCGCTCATCGTACATTATGCAGTCAGTTTTCTTCAGATACTATTTGTGTTTAATTTTAAATAAAAAAAAGTCAAAATTTCTGACAGTACGATTACAATAAACGGATCCCCACAAAGTTGATCTAGATGAGATCTAATTCTATATAAAATTAAGCTATGTTAAATATTAAAATATTTTAATAATATTAATATTTTATATGGCCGTCTTTGTTTACTGTTTGCTTCTTCCAATATTTTAATAGAAAAAATATTTTAATATTAAAATAATATTGCAAGTGGTCAACTACCATATTGGTGAGGATGAGTGTTGTACATACACCACGATATGGGTTTGAACTCCGTCAGCTTCCTAATAACATCTAATCTAACAAATCTATCATTTTAAGAAAAAAAATATTATAGAGGGACTGCTATCTCAGGTATTTTCTTTTATTTCATTGATCCATCCATTGTTAATATATATAGAGGATCGATTTTATAGCTTGCTTCGAGCACAATGGAGCTTTTGTACATGATCTTAATTAGTTTTGTGCTTGCCTGTGTTTCTCTCTGCTATGTTTTTAACCATATTCGTGTCGCCGCCGGCATGAGAAAGGAAAAACTTGATCGTCATCCGCTCCCACCAGGAAGCACAGGATGGCCAATCATCGGTGAAACCCTAGAGTACCTGCGCACGGCCAAAAAGGGTGTCCCGGAAATGTTCATGTTAGACAGGATTAACAGGTACTTGTCATCCGCTGGCAACTCTTGCAAAGTTTTCAAGACATCGTTGTTGCTTCAAGACATGGCAGTGCTATGCACTGCGGGCGGAAACAAGTTCCTCTTTTCGAACGAGGAAAAACTGGTCAAGTCGTGGTGGCCGGCTCACTTGGATAAGATTATCGTTGGCAACTCAGAAAAAACACTCAATATCACTGAGGAGTCTAATCGATTTCGCATGATTCTCGCTCCGTATCTGAAGCCTGCCGGCCTCCAACAGTATGTAGGAACCATGGATTCGGTCACCAAAAAGTATTTGGTTACCTTTTGGGACCATAAAGATCAAGTGAAGGTTCACCAACATGCAAAGAAATATGCGTTTACGTTGGCATGTAAACTCATGTTAGATGTGGAGGATCCACAGATGTGGAGGATCCACAAGTATTGGACAAACTAGAGGGGCTATTGAAGGATTTGTCTTCTGGGTTCACGGCATTGCCAATCGATCTTCCGGGCACAACATTTAACCGAGCCATTCGAGGATCGACGCAACTCAGGGAAGAAATTGAGAAGATTGTGGTTGAGAGGAGGATAAAGCTTTCCACTGCTAGTGCCAATAGTATGGTCGACGAGGATGGTGATCACGGAGATATGTTGTCGAGCTTACTCATGGAGACATATAGCGACGGGCAACAGATAAGCGAATCGGAGATTGCGGACAAGCTGTACGGTGTTATAGTTGCTGGCTACGACAATCTAAGCAGTGTGTTGGCTACCATTATCATGTATCTGGCGGAGTTTCCTCAAGTCTATGATGCCGTCCTTAAAGGTAATTAAGCTGCATTTTCATGGATTTATTATGAACATCCAGTTTGGGATAGTGGTGTTTTTTAAAACAGCTTATAAAAACAAGGGTAAACTATATTTTACACCTTAGATTTAGGTGCAATAACAACCTCATACAACATGTATAAAACATTTCAATCTTATACATTAGTTATCATTTTATTTCAATTTCATACAATCGTTAAAAAATCTGTTAAGTTAATCTTTAAGTAATAACATGGTAATAGTGGACTCTAAAATTTTGTTGACGTGATTGCTTGCTTGTGCCACGTGGCAAAACAACTAATAAAAAATATTTTAATAAAATATCAATTCTTTTGTTAAATTTTTGTAAAAAAAAGGGAAAAAAAGAAAAAAAAGAAAAACCAAACCCTCCCCAGTCCCAGGCCGTTCATCCTCTCCCCTTTGGTTTTATAATTAAAAACTTAAAAAAATAGAAAGGAGAAAAAGGAAAACCCCAAATTTTTCCAAAAAAACAGAAAAAGGAAAACCCTAAATCCTACCCAGTCCCACGCCCCCCACATTCTCCAAGCCCACGGCACCCCCGCCGTCGTCCTCTCCACTTAGCCATTCTCTCCGGCCCCGACCTTATTCGCCGTCCGCAACACCTGATTCCAGAACTCCGTCCTCGATTACCCCGATAGTAGTCTACTACCACGTTATTACTGAACATTTAATTTAATAGATTTTTTAACGGTGGTATAAAATAGAAATAAAATAATAACTAAGGTATGAGATTGAAATATTTTAAAGATATTGTATGAGGTTGCAATTATACCTAAATTTGAGAGGGTAAAATATAATTTGCCCTAAAAACAATTTGAAACATCAAATGAGTTTGGTAAAATAAATAAAATGTGTGTGTGTTTTTCTTTTTTAAATTGCTATCAATGACAGAACAAAAGCATATAAAAGTATGAGTAGGGTTTACTATGTTTTAAAAAAAAGTTTTATTTTTCAAAGCATAGTAATGAGTACCTAGTTTTACTAAACACTCAAGTAACTTTATTTTATAATAATTTATTTTTACAATACAGAAAAAATAATTTTTTAAAAAATACATCAATACCAAACTAACCCGTAGTCTAAATTACTCAATTTGCAACAACAATTTAAGGATTAGAAGGATGACTACGACCATGATCATTAGAGCAAGTCCACCCCTAAGAACTTTGCACCAGCACCCAGCGCATTTATCCACTCAAGTGAACAGTAATAGATTGGAGTGAACAGTAATAGGCCAAGGTATCTCCACCCCTAAAAAAATGCGCTGGCACCCAACGTATTTATTTGGTGTGTTTGTTTTTTTTAAGTTTATTTCGGATAAGATTTTTAACCAATTTCGGATAAAATTTCAAATAAACTTAAAAAAAAATACACACTAAAATAAAATTACATACTCATCAAATAAACTTAAAAAAAACACACTAAATAAATGTGGTGTAAGGTGGAAGATGAGGGTTACGTATTTATAGAAAGAAAAAAAACTTTTTTAAAATTTTATTGTATTTAAAAAAAATATGTATTTTTTAATATTTTTTAATTAATTTTAATGTAGTTAATTAATCTGGACCATTGGATTTGAAAAATATTCAAATCCAAGAGCCAGGATCAGCCACATGGCCACGCGCCAGCAAATGGCCCGGCTTCTTGGTCAGCCTATTTTGTGCTGGCCTAGAGACCAGCATGGGATGGGTGCCAGGCTGTTGAACGGGCTGGAGGACATGGACAGGGTGCTGGGCTGCTATTTGGACTGAGTGCTGGGCAAAGTCCACTCCGGTGGACTTGCTCTTAGATATTTTTTTGTAAAAAACATGGTCTTTAATTGAGGATTTAGAAAATAAATGGTCCATATCTTGAAATGGGGTTGTAGGGTGGACGGAAATGACGTTGTAGAGTGGACAAAAATGACTTCAGTCATTGCTAAACCAGTTAATATACATAATTTCACTTTTCTCAACTAATATATATAATAATATTTGCTTACTTTTCTATACTATCTATTAATAGACCACTGTTTGTAAGCCAAAAACTAAGAGACTATCTATTATCTATTAGTAAAACACTTTTTGTCAAACAAAAAACAAGGAAAATGCTATTATACCTTTCCATGCTTAATTGAAAGAAAATATCAGGAAAGAAAAATTATGGGCACTTAAGTACTTTGCACAAAAAAAAAAAAAAAAAAAAAGCTTTGGTATATATTTTTTTCCATCCACATATCATCAAAGCACGTGTCTATTAAGAATAATAACTAAACCTAACTACTTAATTCGGTGGCCAAAATTAAACTTGAACAGAACAAATGGAGATTGCAAACTCAAAAGCAGCAGGAGAGCTGCTGAACTGGGGGGACGTACAAAAGATGAAATATTCATGGAGCGTGTCGTGTGAAGTGATGAGATTGTTGCCCCCAAATCTTGGGACTTTTAGAGAGGCCACCACCAACTTCGTTTATGAAGGACATCTAATACCAAAGGGAATGAAGGTAAATTATTTATAACTATTATAATTTATATAATGATAAAATTATTACTACTATGCACAAACTTTATGTATGTGAATATTTAATTTTTATTGTTGTTTTAAAATGGAAAACGGAGCGGAAGAGAGAGAACGTGGGAATGAGGAGAGAGGTGTTTATTCTCTCTCTCTCTCTCTTTGTTTTTTTTAATTTTTTTTTTAATTTTTAATATTAGAGATAGATTAGGATCATATGTGAGTAAGGCTTAAAAAAAGTAAAATTTAGTTCTTGCGAAATTGCATTAGTGTCCATGATTTTGTGTTGTGATTGAAGATTAAATTGTGTTTTCACTTTGTTTTAATTAACAAAGAAGTTTTTGTAATTAATAGGTAGATTATTATTGTTAGTGGAATGAGGGTAATTATAAATTAAATAAATCTTGGGGTGTAGTCAATTTAGATTTCAGAAAATTTTATGCAAATTTTTAAGTGACAGATTTTAGAAGATTTTTAATGGACATTTTAATAGACTCTACAATTTTATATAGATTTTGACATATTTTAATTTCTAATATAAGTTTCTATAAATTTGTATGAACTTCTTTCATAAATTTCTTAAGATTTCTAAGCATCACCAAACCTAGTTAGAAAGCTGCGAGTGCTCTCATTGTAATAAGCATTGGTTTGGCGACCGTTCTACTAAACATTAGTGAACACTATTTTAATATAAAAAACATGTAGAACTAGTTAAACATTATTGAACACTATTTTAATATCAAATAAATCTTACTTCACTCACTATTAATAATTTAAGTATTCAAAAAAACATTTATAGGTTGTTATAATAATTTGGGTTAAGCCATACATTAGACTTATCATAATAATTTGATATCAAACTCGTTATTGACAACATTAAAACCTAAGACCTTGTAAAAAGAAATATCGCTACACCAAATGACTAATCAACCTACGAAAACCAATCTTAGACATTCATCACTAGTCTCCTACATAATTAAGAGGGACTTTTTATGAATAGGGAGATCATTAACTATATGGTCATCGCCCTGAATATTTCGTTTGTATTGGGAACATTGTGTCCGTGTATTTGTCCTGTTATATTGTTAGATGACTATGGTTTCATATTTCATTGATTTCCTTGTGAGATTGATCCTTGAAAATCAACTTAATTGTGTCGTGGATCTACTTGTGATATCCCTTTTTGGTGAAGATTGATTAAAGAGGGAACCCTCTTAAGTTATGGGTAATGTATATATATGAGCGTACTGGACGTGATATATATGATATTTTTTAGTACAATATATATGAATGAGTTTAGTTTAACTTTGATTACATTTGTATATGCATGCATGGATGAATAAGCAGTTGCATTGGAATGTGAATTCGACACATAAGAACCCAGAATGCTTCCCGAATCCAGAAAAGTTTGATCCGTCGAGGTTTGAGGGAAAAGGACCACCTCCTTTTGCATTTGTTCCTTTCGGAGGAGGACCTCGAATGTGTCCCGGCAAAGAATACTCTCGACTCAAAATACTGGTGTTCATGCACAACGTGGTCACCAAATACAAGTGGGACAAGGTTTTTCCTGATGAGAAATTCATATGGGCACCTGTGCTTCGTCCAACCAAAGGACTTCCAATTAAGCTTTTTCCTCACAATAAATCCAATTAACAACGTCGTAAGCCCTTAAAAATAATTAATGGATGATCAACGATCCTATGAATACATGTAATGCTATTGGAAACTGTATTTGGTTTTAGCTATTAATTATTGTTATTGTATGAATCTATAGTTTGTAGTCTACACGCGAATCCTATTCATGTATATGATTTTATTAATGGAATAAAGATTGTAAAAGTTAATCACGTTTGAATTTCCCTTTTTCTTTAAGTTGTCATATATATAGAAAATTTTCTTTGATATAGTTAGTCAATTTAGTTGAAAATCAGAGTACGCAACAAACATATATATTTAATACAAAGGATAAATTTCAATTTACTATCTTAAAGTTTCGTGGTTTTCAACATTTGGTATATGAAGTTTTTTTCGTTCCAAAGTTATACCTAAAGTATTAATTTTGGGACTGTCTCGTACATCCATTAGAGTTTTTCAGTAGACAATTCAAGGAAAAAAAAAAAAAAAAAAAAACAAAACCCACCCGTCTTGTACCTCCCCCAACCCCTTCCCTCCCTTCTTTCCTCTGCAACACGTACCCTCCCTTCTAACAAAGATCAAATGCAGCAGGCAGCAGTACAATTCCAATTCAAAAGTTAAACATCTTCGTACACAAGTAATCAGAAACTTGCCTGATTTCGGCGCTGAGGAAAGCCGTGGGTGGTGGGTGGGGGGGGGGCGTTGCGGCCTTTGCTGGTAGCAGCAGCTTCAACAGAACTCACATTCGAATCCGAAAAACCAATTGCAAGAACTGCCTGGTCCGACAGCCGTGTTCGAGTTCGGCGCTTCCCAAATCCCAGTTCATCCTAAAATCCGAAACTTCAAACCTCTGCCAAATACAAAAACTAGAACTAGTTTCCGAGGTAATTTTTCACCTTCTTCTCGATCTGTGTATTTACATCTCTAAATACCAATCTGGGTAACGATTATTTTGTGGCTAAAATCCCCGTGATTGTTGACTGTTTTGATGGATTTGCAGGGAAGAAGATGGAGTTCTGGGGCGGCGGACACGTGGCGTTGAGTTTGGCGCTGGTGGGTTTTCTGGTTTTGTGCCGATTGGAAGGGTCGCTAGGGTTGAGGTTCGTGATAGACAGGGAAGAGTGCTTTTCTCACGATGCAAAGTGTTGATTTGTATTAGGATTCCTATAATTGTGTGATTCTTACCATATTTAGTTTCCTAGTTAGGATGTAATTATTTTCCCCTTATTCTTTCCCATATTTGTATAGGGTTGTATATATACCTTTGTTTGAGATGAAATACACATATCATTGAAAAACATTCTTTCTTCTTGGCACCAGAGCCGGGTTAGAAAAGGAAAACACCGAACCCTAATTGTATTTTTTCCACTGCCGTGTCCCTGATCAATTGCAGCGAGCAACTTAGAGTTGTTGCTGCCCGTTTCCTGATCGATTGCAGCGAGCAACTGAGAAGTTGTTGTTGCCCCGTCAATTCGTTCGTATTGTTCCAAAGCCCCATCAAAACTGTAGTTTTTTTTCTGCCCAGTTTGTATTAGTCAGTTCCAAGGTCCCATGGCTGAAGAAAAGGGGGTTGGTTCTCAGATTGTTCCAGCGGTTGCTCCAATTATGGTGCAGTCAAAGAATTCAAGCTTTAATATTGGTATGGTTTTGGATGAAAAGAACTATGATTTATGGGCTCCTCTTATTCAAATCCATATTGCTGGAAGGAAGAAGATGGGATATCTTCGTGGGTCTATCAAGACACCTAACGAAGATGATCCTAAATATGATGATTGGTTTTTTGAAGATAAAAAAAATTAAGAGTTGGCTTTTGCCTTCAATGAAGCCTGAGATTATGAAACGGTACATTCGGTTGTCTACATCGAAGGAAATTTGGGAATCCCTTAAGGCATCTTACTTTGATGAGAACTCAGCCTAGCCAAACAAGCCGGGATCGTCCCCAAGGTAAGTGCCCACACTGTGGCATGACAGGACACTCTAAGAGTTGTTGTTTTGAGCTGATTGGATATCCTGAGAATTGGGATATGACTCGTGATCCTCGTTGCAACAAATCTTGAGCCTCTGTTGTAGAAACCAAGAATGATTCGGACCAGATAGCGGACAAGGCATCTGCCATGATTGCTACGGCAGGTAGTATGGTAAGGCACTAAGTACTTCTACTTCTGTTATGAATAATACATGAATAATTGATTCCAGAGCTATTGAACATATGACTTGTGATTCTAAACAGGTTCCATCACTAAAAACATCCACACAGACTGAGGTCAATGTTGCTAATGGTAATGTCATCCCTGTTACTGGGGAATGCACTGTTTCCTTTTTCGATACCATAAAACTTGACACTGTTCTTGTGGTTCCCTCTCTAAATTATAATTTGTTGTTCGTTGCTTAAATAACTCTTGCCTTACATTGTTTGGTTATTTTTTGGCCCTATTTTTGTGTTTTTAAGGACATCCGGACGCAGAAGAAGATTGGTTATGGTATTAAAAGAGGGAAACTTTATTACTTGGAGTCGACCACCAGTAGTTCTAGCTTGCTAACTCAAGCCCTTTCCGTTGATGATTCTCAAGGGGATACTAATAAAGTGTTAGACATCTGGATGTGGCATCGGCGCCTTGGGCATGATTCCTTTGGTTATTTGCATCAGTTATTTCCTAGTTTGTTTGTCAAGAATGATGTTTCTCAGTTTAAGTGTGATGTTTGTGAAGTGGCTAAGAGGCATCGAACCTCCTTTCCTCCCAGTTTAAATAAAAGTACCGTTCCTTTTATGATTGTGGATTCTGATGTATAGGGACCGTCGAAAATAGCTACTCTTGGTGGTGCTCACTGGTTTGTTACTTTTATTGACGATTGTACCAGAATGACTTGGGTTATTTTGTTAAAGTTGAAAAGCGAAGTTAGTTCGGCCTTTCAACGGTTCCATAAAATGGTTTCTGTGCAATACAACAGGAATATCCAGGTTCTTAGAAGTGACAATGGGGGCGAATATGTTAATATGGAACTTCGTTCCTTCCTAGAATTGCATGGTATTGTTGATCAGACCACGTGGCTGTATACTTTTCAACAGAATGGGGTTGCAGAACGGAAAAATAGACACCTGTTAGAAATGGTTCGTGCTTCACTCATTGCGGCACATCTGCCTCTACATTATTGGGGAGATGCACTTATGTCCGCAGCCTACCTTATTAATTGTCTTCCTTCCCGTACTATCAACTTCCATACGCCATTTCAGGCTCTCAGATCTCAGACTAGCAGCCCACCAACTCCCAATCTCCCTCCACGGGTCTTAGGGTGTGTTGATTTCGTTTATCTCCATCCCCCTCAACGGAATAATAAACTTGAGCCTCGAGCCATTCATTGTGTTTTTTTGGGTTATGTTACTACCCAGAAAGGATATCGTTGTTTGATCCTTCGAGTAAAAAAATGTTTATTACTCATGATGTGATTTTCCATGAGAATGAAATGTTTTTTGGATCCTCTGCGTCCTCACTTCAGGGGAATACCGAAATAGTGAAGTTCTGACATGAGATAATAGTGAAGTTTTGAGATTTGATTACTCTCACATGGGTAGAAATGATCTACATGATGAGCAACCATTGGAATCATCACGCCTGGAGTACACGGCATATGGAGAAGGGCAGCAGCCCATGTGTTGCAGTGATCAGCCCACGACATCTGAAGAAGGGCAGCAGCTTGTGTGCTTTGGTCATCAGCCCACTGATGAGCAGCAAACAAATCAGAAGGAGGAGTAGCCCACGAGTCCTACTATTTGTAGTGGAACCGAGCAACAATTGCAGCATTTGTCACAAGATTTTTCTCTCGAAGTTATATCAGGTCCGACTATGAACTCATATTCTATTAATTCTCATAACCAATCGTTTCCTACACCGGATGCACCTACACTCCGTAACCTTCCCGAGCATATTAATCAAGGTATTCCTAAACCCACTTATGAGGTAGATCTTAAGTGTAAACACAAGTATTCCGTGAGTGAGCCAAACTCTGATTCAAGAGTGAGATACCTATTAAACAATTATGTGTCTACCTGTCACCTGTCAGAATCAAATAAGTCATTTGTATCAATTATCTACTGTATCTATTCCTAACAGTGTGCAGGAGGCTTTAGCAGATTCCCGTTAGAAAGATGCAATGAACGAGGAATTGAGATCGTTGAAGAAGAATGCTACCTGGGAAATAACTGACTTGCCAGCCGAAAAGAAACCTGTGGGATGCAAATGGGTTTATACAGTGAAATACAAAGCAGATGGAACGGTAGATCACTTTAAAGCACGATTGGTAGCAAAGGGGTATATGCAGAAATATGGCATTAACTACACTGATACGTTCACACCAGTGGCAAAGATCAATATAGTTCATGTTCTACTGCCCTTAGCAGCAAACCTGGATTGGCCTTTGCAACAGTTCGATGTAAAAAATGCATTCCTCCATGGAGATCTAACTGAGGAGATTTACATGGACCTTCCACCAAGGTGCAATCATTCGGACATACGAAAATAAAAGGTATGTAGGCTCAAGAAATCATTGTATGGGTTAAAGCAGTCTCCTAGAGCCTGGTTTGGTAGATTTACCAAGTCCATGAGAGCATTCGGGTATAGGCAAAGTAATTGAAATCACACGTTATTCCTGAAACGCCAGAATGGAAAGGTTACAGCCCTCATCGTATATGTGGATGATATGGTGGTTACTGGTAATGATCATGTTGAGCAAGCAGCCTTGAAAAATTATTTGTCCACAGAATTTGAAATGAAAGATCTTGGTTCTTTGAAATATTTCCTTGGGATTAAAGTGTCAAAAAGCAAGTCTGGGATATTTCTATCACAAAGGAAGTATGTTCTTGACCTATTGGAAGAAACTGGTATGACAGTGTGCAAGCCTGTGTCTACTCTGTTGGAAGAAATGAAGTTGGGTATCGATCAGAACGAAGTACCGGTTGATAAGGGGAGGTATCAAAAGTTAGTAGGAAGATTAATGTACTTGGCTCACACTAGGCCGGATCTTGCTCATGCCTTAAGTGTGATTAGTCAATATATGCATAATATTCCAGGAGAACAACACATGAGTGCAGTTATGAGGATATTGAGTTACTTGAAAAGAAGCCCTGGTAAAGGAATTTTATTTCAAAAAAATGGGCATTTCAAAATTGAGTGTTATACAGATGTTGATTAGGCAGGATCAACGGATGATAGGCGTTCGACATTT